CCATCTGCAATCGACACACCCTCGCGCTCGACTCCCGGAGGCAATATCATAGCATTCCTTTGATGCTGAATCCTGGCGACGATCGATGCGCACGATCTGCACGCGCGTCACCGCCTGATGCCTGCCTTACTCCCTGCCACCACCTTCACCACCTCCTGCGCGCGCAGCGAGCGCCATCGTCCTTTCCCATCACCGTCGCCGCTTTCATTGCCTCCTCGCGCGCCGAGTGCGTCTCCTGCAAGTACCATTCTCCCCGTTCCACACGCGCGCCGGGCGCATCCTCAACACGGCCCGCACCGCAGCACCTGCGGCAGCCGCTCCGCATTGCCTGTGCCGCGGTTATCACCTCCCCGCCCGCCGCCACCTTGTCTAGCGCCCCACTACTTTGCACGAAGCCAGTTCCTGTCCGGCACCGGGAGTACGACACCCAGCATCGCTGGAGCGCGCAGCAAGTGCAACAAGCGCTCCCCTTCGCCCACGCCGCCTTCATCGCCTCCCCGTGCGCCGCGCCCATCCTCTGCGCCCACACCGCCCTCCGCTCCAAACCTCATCCTGCTACGCACCGCGAACGCGATGTGCACCGCCCCCGGCGTCCTTCTCTGCGGCCGTCCTCCCCATCACCCCATACGCTCCCCGCTTCCCCTTTCCATCCTCAGCGCCATACCGCCCCGCTGGTTGACAACTCCGCCGCACCGCCGCCCATGCGCAGCCGTGCGGCGGCTTCCCATCACCAGCGCCGGCTGCGTTTGCCGCGATGACACGGCTACGGGCGAGCAGCGGACGAACGACACGGAGACGATGCGCACCCCGCGCTTCCACCAGTACCCGCATTCCGCGCTAGGGATCTCAGACAACCGCGGATGGGGCACCGCGACCATTCTCGGTGCGCCGAACCCGGGCCGAGACAGAGGAACCTACGCTGCCCCGGGATTTCTGTACATGCGAATCTCCGGCAAGCGCTGCGAGTTCGGGGAAGGGTACTGCATGAATGCAGAAGTGTCCCGATTCTTGTTACATCGGCTATATTTTTACTTTGTAGCTTGATAAATAGGCATGTGTCGATACCTGAAATATCGTCGTGTCGGGCCTTCTTTCTCCGATTGAGACCAGGAGGATTGAAAACCCAGAACTGGAGAATCAATGGCAAGCGTCGGGCTATCGGTCGATAATCGACCCCCGCTCATGGGATCGATCTTTCTCAATCTGTGTTCCACTTTCGCGCAGTTCAAAGGCGCTACCTTGCACAGGATGGGGTGCGGCTGAGTTCAAAAGCCAGTCTGGGACGCTTAATGCCAGACTTTTTTGTTTGAAAAGAGTCAGAGTGGTATCCCAAAGAAGCGGTCGTGCATATAGACTCACCACAATATCCAAATTTTTGATGGCGCAAAATTGTTCAACTGGAGTTCAGTAGGTACGTTGTACTTCTGAATTCAAGGTGGAAAATCGTCACAGACGTTCCAGGTGATATTTGTGTCGATTAAAAGTGCCACTACCAATATGATTATCACCCTACAAACATCCATCGAAACGGCCGTAACGGATTCGACGAATAGGCCCGTCCGTGGCTAGAAACGGCCTTGTTTTCGACGGCCGTTCCGTTAAACGGACGGGTCGGAGCCCTAACTCCACGGGATGAGGGCAAGGCTTGAGGCCATTTCCTGATCAGCTCAGGGTATGGGTGAGTAGGGACCCTTCGTTCAGCGCTTAACTAAAATGCGAGACATACCCAGCCTGTATACTGCATGTCGGTCAAAAACCCACACTGTGTCGTGTCGGTGCGGACCATCCCGTACATTCTTCTTGGAAGTCTCCGAAATAGAGCTGTGGAGGCTGTTGTGCTGAATCGAGATGCGGGCGCTTAATTCAGAATTGCGAGACTCGATGCCATTGGACGAACGCAGGATGAAATCGGTGTTAGTAATGAGTCTGGGAGAAGAAGGGAGGTGCGAGCGCCTGCGCTTCACTACACCCGACAGATACAGCTTGCCCACAGCATTCTGGGAAGATCATTCCCCGGTCCGAATGTTTTTTTTTGGACCACGAAAATAGAGCGGTGATTGCTGGAGCGAAGCGTGGGCGCTAAGTTTAGGCGCCTCCCGGCGCTTCATTCGGGCCACGAAGAAAAGGATGATTCTCGAGAAGAAATAGAGAAAAAAAACGAGTTCGATACCGTCTGGTAATGATGTTGATGGCTCCAGGGCCCACAGGGCCATGGCCGCCCAAATACCTAGAGGAACGAGACAGAAACAGAAAACGAGGGAAAACTCGCGCCGCACCGAGACGGGATTGGAAAAGCCAAAGTGACAAACACAGCATAAATGGTAACACAATCGAAGGAAGAGAAGACGTGGCACGAAGTGCCCGGTGCCCAGAATGAAAAGGGAAGGTCACGAAAAACAAGTTCTTCAAGCGCAGAGAAGATATCTCCTCGTGACAAGAGATCGCCGAGGGGACAGTTTGACGCACTGAATGAACTGGCAAAGAGAGACGAAAATATCGATATTGCAGAGGAAATTCGAAACCATCGTGACGTCGACGCAACTAGGCGCTGGCAAAGAAAATGAGACGGCCATCCTGAGGCGAGGAAGCCTATTATCGATCGCACCAGCACCAATGGCGGGAAATCGCGAGCGTGGTGCCGGCACAAAATACTGTCAGGAATGCGCATGTGCCGTTGGAGGTAGCAGAGATATTCTTGCCAGTACCGTGAGAAGCCACGCATCCATTCTGGAATGCAAGAAAGGAACGTTGTGGTGGTGATGAGAAAGACTTTTTGTGGCGATGCGGTCACGCATCAGCAAGCAATCGGTATGCGGTCCGCAATTCCGCCTCTTACTTTGAGTTATATTGATGCTGGGTGACCGCTTGACTTGATGCCCTGCACGCGCGCACCATGCTTCGTTAATATGCCTGCGGAGGGTAGTCACCGCGCTGGGTCAAAGCCGTTATCAAGTATCTTTAGCACCGCAAGTGCCGACTCAACAAAAGGACGCTCTGGATGTGTAGATACAACAATTAATTGCGACTGCGTACGACAACAGGTACATAAAAGCTCAGGACGCCCTCCCTCCCTGAATCTGCACCTGCTTGCGCGCCATGCCGAAATTATCACCAGCAACCGAGCCATCATCTTTGAAATGAATAATAATCAAAAACGAATAACTAGAGCGCACCTTCGTCGCAGACCACAACAACTTGAGCGATTCGTTCAGGTGCACCGCAAGCTGGGAAATTTTTTCAAATATATCCGACTTGTCATATTGAAAATGAAAGAAGGACGCACCAACCTCTTTGAAATCCCGCCCACCGAGTTCTGCAGCAGGCAACCGTGGAACATGTACATTTTTCTTTCCGTTCGGAAAGAAAGAAAAAGTAAGAAGGATGACACCTTTTTCGACGAGTACGTTATATTGCGTAATCATAACCTTTCCTTGCCTAAGCGCTGTCCGTGATGCGATCGTGCGAAGATGATTGACGTAACGACGTTTGTCTGGCAACATTATAAATGTGAGTATGATTGGAGTATGATTGAAGAAAAAAATCACTTCATCGGGTATTCGGATACAGGGAGTCCAACCCCGGGTTTTCAGCAGTACTCAAACCGTCCAAAACAACGTAGTGATCGCTGATGTGCGCCGTATATTACATCCGAGTCAGTACCATTCATTTGCAGCTGGATAAGTGAGAGATATCTTAGCATTTTTGCACCATTAAAATAAAAGTAGCTCTAAACTTCACTATTCGGAGGCGGGGAGTCGAACCTCGGTCTTCAGTTTTGTTATGAGAAACTGACTACTTAAGAGCTAAGGTGCGCCGTCTACAACCGAGTTCTTTCCTACCCTTTGAGCTTGGGTATTGAATGCGGTCTTTTCGCGGACTCAGGAGAGAAGACAAAAAAAAGACACATTCCCAACTCATTCGGATGCGGGGAGTCGAACCCCGGTCCTTAACCCGACAATCGTTTGAAAGCCCGATGAGCTGATATGCACCGTGCACCACATCCGAGATATCCCATACCCTTTGAAGCTGGGTAAGTAGGATTATTTTAGTATGGATGTGGCAAAAAAAATGAATTGTCAAAATGAGTCGAACCCGTTCTTCAGCAGTGACACACGTATGAGAGCTGATGTGCACCGTGCACCACATCTGAGTTCTTCTCTACCAATTGGAGTTGGGAAAGTGGAAATATTTGAGCATCCACAGGACGAAAAAAGAAATTCATACACTCATTGCGATTCGGATGCGGGGAGTTGAACCCCCTATAGATACCTCTGGCGCAATCTACAAGCAGCCTCTGTGCACTGTGAATCACATCTGAGTTCCCTTTATTCTTAAAACATGAGGTATTTCAGCATGAGCATGATTGAAAAAAAAAACATTTGCTTCACTAATTCATTCGGATGCAGGGAGTCAAATCCGGCTTTCAGCCCTTGATTTGGGGACTTGGCAGGTGAAGTTGATGTGCACCCGTACACCACATCCGAGTTTTTATTTATCCGTTGAACCTGAGTAAGTGGCACTGCGGGGGTTCATGGTCCTTCCAAACTCAAAAATGTCTTTGAAACATGTCTACCATTTTCGTTAAACTTTCGGAGCTCAGGAAAAAAGGCCAAGGATATCGAGTGTTTTCTTCATTTTTCCCTCCTGATAGAAGATTTTCTGACTAATAAAGCGGCTTTGCTGATTTTTTTCCGGTCGAGAATTAATTCTATTCATAATACCAAAGACTGTTTGAACAAATAATGATTTCTTTGTCACACAAAGAAACAAATAGCATTTCAGTCACCCTTTAGCCAGATTTTAACCACCGACAGAGATGCTGGCAGAGGGAGAAGATGATCTTACATTTTCATCTTATCTTTGTTACAAGCCCTAAATTTAATGAAACAGGTAGACATCTTTGAACCTCGTTTTTGGGTCAAAAAGATGTGTGGACCCCAGCAGTGTGGGCATTATTTTGGCATGGCATGCCCCAAAAATGAATCGGGGCTGCCATCTTATTCGGATGCAGGGAGTCGAACCCCGGGCTCCAGCTTACAGCATCAGTATCCAAACAAGATAGTGCTAGCTGATGTGCACCGTGCACCACATCCGACTTACCTTCCTTCTTTTGGAGTTGGGTAAAAGGGAGATATTAGCGCAAGAAAAAAAATGACACCTACTTGAGCGCTCAGATGCGGAGAGTCGAACCCCGGTCTCCAGTATCAGAGCCATAATATTTCATAACCGAAGAGAAGCTGATATGCACCGTGCACCACATCCGAGACATTCCATACCCTTCGAAGCTGGGTAAGTGGGCATTATTTGAGCGTGGACAAAAACAAAGGAAATAAAAACCAACTTTTATTCGGATGCGGGGGTTCCGTTCTTCGGCAGTACTGCGATCGGCTCCGTTTAGTGATAGCTGGGGTGTCCCGTGCACCGCATCCGAGATATCCAATGCCATTTGAAGCTCGGGAAGTAGCAGTATTCACCGAGGAAACAGGCCAAAAAAAAAAGCGCCCATTTTATTCGGATGTGGGGAGTTAAACCCGGGTGTTCAGCTTGAAGAGAGCAAAAGTAACCTAACTGGAAGCTGATATGCACCATATACCACATCCGACTTACTTGCTTTGATTTGAAGCTGGGGAAGTAGCAGTATTTCAACATGGACGAAAAAAAAAGGCGAGGCAAACAAATCAAAGACAAATTCGGATGCAGGGAGTCGAACCCCGGCTTCAGCCCGATTGCCACAGAAGGGGGACAATACGCTGATGTGCACGGTGCACCACATCCGAGCTATTACCATTCAATTGGAGCTGGGGAAGTGAGAGATACTTCAGCTCTGAAAAGAAAGCTGTTCGAATTCCAAATATTCGGATGCGGGGAGTCGAACCCCGTCTTCAGCCTGGTGGTCATAGAATGGGTGCTCATAGGCCCGCCGATGTGTTCCGTGCACCACATCCGGGTTATTGCCATTCATATGGAGTTGGATAAATGTGGTATTTCAGCGAAAAAGCACGCAGACACGTTGAATTCGAATGCAGGGAGTCGAACCCCCGGTTTTCAGCAGTACTCAAGCCGTCCAAGCAGAGCAGTGATAGCTGATGTGCGCTGAACACCACACCCGAGATATTCAATACCTTCTGAACCTGGGTAAATGCGGTATTTTAGCATGGACATGACCCAAAAAAAATGGAAAAAGACCTCTCATAAGAGTGCTATTCAGATGCGGGGAGTCGAACCCCGGCTTTCAGCTCTAAGATTACTGACATACGAGCAATAAGGAGCTGCTGTGCACCCTACACCACATCTGAGATATTTTCTATCATTGAAACCTGGGTAAGTGGGAGATATTTCAGCACTAATAGCACCAAAAAGCACGACGAACGCCAGTCATCAGCTCTAAACTTATTGACAAACAGTATCTACAAGGAGCTGGTGTGCACCCTACACCACATCTGAGATATTTTCTATCATTGAAACCTGGGTAAGTAGCAGCATTTTGGCGAACTCAGGAGAGAAGGCAAAAAAAAATCTTGCCATCTTATTCGGACACGGGGAGTCGAACCCCGGACTTCAGCAGTACTGAAGATCGAATGGCAAATGAGAAGCTGATGAATAAACTATATCACGTTTGTTTAAACAAATTGCGTCTAGACGCAAATTGCCGTTTAAACAGATGTTTAATCTAAACACGTTTAACCGCACGGTGCGGTAATCCGGGCCGTTCAAAGGGCGGTTTAAACAGTGTTTAAACGGGCCAAAAAGGCATTTATATCAGGGTTCGAACTCATTCCCTGAGCTGCATGCATACATAAGCAGGGAGACGAAGCAACAAGACTCTGACTGGGCCAACTTAGAGTAGTAATTTGCAAATGTAATGCTCCATTATCATGGGACTGTGACCGGGTATACATGTTCAACTTGCCGAGTTGGACTCAAGGTGCAGTAAAACAGGCTCACAAGCGATAGTTTAAACACAATGCAGGAAGGGTAAGATATATTTCCGATGAAGCGAGTAGTTGGACTTCAAGTTTCTTCATTTCTTATCTTCTTAAACCATAAACAATTTACTTCCTTCGAGGTTTCCTGTAGCTTCTCTTGTCCGACATCAGAACAGGCATTAGCGATGTCTTAATTATAATTCAACACTCCCCTGAAGCACAAATACTAGGTGGTTCAAACTGATATATTTCTGATGGAGTTACTTCTGGCTGAACTGCTTGGTCAGTTCAAAAAGTTTACATGGTCCTTGAAAGAGCAGCTGATAATCACACATCTTTTATGCAATGTGGAGTATAAAATCTTGCCACACCTGATATAACTGTATGGAATCTGGGAAGGTGAGTCAGATTGGGAATCACAACTTGAAGTCAATCCGCATCATGTTTATGTTCAAGCGTACTCGTATAGCATTTATTGTTCTTCAAAGTGACTGTTCAAAGTCTTGTGGGAGAATACCAAACCATTTCTGTTCAATCAAAATGATGTGTGAGACACTGAGCTCCTGACCATGGTTGGATTTCGAAGCAGCGAGGATCAAAGGCAACGAGAGGGAAGACCTGTTTGAGCCGTCAAGACATGTAAATGCTGCAAGTATATTGAAAAATGGTGAAATACAAGTGGTGCTATAACATTCACTTCCCACTCCGGCAAGGTCAATCACAGAATTAAATGGAAGCACTTTTCAAACTTCACATGGGGGGCATGAGTTATTAGAATGTCAAGAAAACTTCAAGTGCTTTACCTCAAGGCCAGAGTGGTATGTTAAAAAAATGCGAATTCACTCAATTTTGGTGATTGGTGGGTGCACCGACTCATCCTCGCCACCTAGAGGATTTGGATACGGGGGCATTATTGAAGTCGAATGAAATAAAGAGGAACATCGATCAAAGTCTTCCCTTGGAAGTTCAAAGATAGCGGGCTGAGAAAAGGGATGAGGCTCCCCGAGCACTCGGACACATTGAACCTGTCTGCTTACAAGATCTTCATGATGAATACGGCAGCTGTGTGGCACAGAGCACCGCATCTGGTGATTCCCCTAATCCAGTTCTTCGTCTTTATATCAGACAGGATGTTAACAAAAATACATCATTTTCTGGAGGGGTGTGTCTGCCCGAAAACAAATAAGTCATCTGTGTGCCTCTGACATTTGAAGATGTATAATTATGCTGGTGGGTTTTGGAGAAAAAATAATTTGGCAGATTCTAGTGCCCAGAGTTCAGACACTTGGAGTTGAACCCCTGTTTACTACAGGAATGTTTAATCCCCGAATTAAAATAAAATAAAGGCGGCCCCATGCACCACATCGAATACACGGTTCAAGTTACTCGAGAGCACCATTGAGTTAAAATGCAGTGGCTTTATGAGCTGTGCAAAGATCCGGAAAGGGACTGAATATGCGAAGTTCATCAGTTGAATAATTGTCGTTACAAGCCAGTGCTACCTTGAAGGAGACCAGTCTAATGTCCTGAGATAGTCAAGTGTCGGTAGAATAGTCTCCAGAGACGGATTATAAGCTTTAGCCAGTCGACGCATTTTAAAGTCGGAGTATGTATCACCAGAAAGAGAGAATAGGCCTTAACCACTGTGCAAAAGTTGCAAAGGTCATTGAAAACAGAGCGATGGAAACTTTAGCACCAGAAATGGTACAAAACTGTCAAATCTTGCACCTTGCCGGAGTGGGTCAAACATGTACAATAGCAGCTGCGAGTGTTAGTATTTAAAAAAATGGCCAACTCAGAATTAGACTTACTGGGTGATGGTAAATTCACTGACTTTGAACATGCGGAGTGGAGAATGTGATGGTCAAGTACAGGTGAAATGATTGATTCAAGTGTGCCTGTTCAACCAGCAGAAAGAAATTCTAAGATATGCAAAATTGAATCAGGGCACTCCCAAGGCACAAAATACTATTGATAATGTGTATAGATGTGAATAAGCCGACGGACACGAAAAATTCTGATGTTGATCACTTCGGAAATCAGAGGGATTGGAGTACCAAGGAGCGGTGTAATCGCCGTGATAATTTCTGACAAAGTATTTGAAATGATGATAAGGAAACTTCGAAGGAAGTAAATTATTCATTATCTGACAAGATAAGAAACAGAAAAATTTGAAGTCCAACTACTCACTTCGTCGGAAATATATCTTGCCCTTCCTTTTCCTCTTTACTTCAGGGCAGTCTCACATTATATTTAAACTATCGCTTGTGAGCCTTTTTATTGCACCTTGAGACCAGTTCAACTCGGCAAGTTGAACTGGTGTACCGGCCACAGTCCCATGATAAAGGAGGAGGAGGATGTATTACTGCAGCGGTCCCATCAGGAAACAAGCAGGCTCTGTACCTACGTACAACACGTCCGTATGTACGTTACAGACATCGGGAGCCCTCACACTTTGATAGCCTACAAGTATAGACGTCTCCTGAAAGGAGCATTACATTTATGAATTACCACTCTAAGTTGGCCCAGTCAGAGTCTTGTTGTGTTGTCTCCCTGCTTATGTATGCATGCAGCTCAGGGTATGAGTTCGAACCCCGGTATAAAATGCCTTTTTGGCCCGTTTAAACACTGTTTAAACCGCCCTTTGAACGGCCCGGATCACCACACCGTGCGGTTAAATGTGTTTAGATTAAACACCTGTTTAAACGGTGATTTCCGTCTAGACGCAATTTGTTTAAACAAACGTGATAGGGTTACTGGCTGATGTGCACCGTGCACCACATCCGAGTTTTTCTTTATCCTTTGAACCTGGGTAAATGGGGATATTTCGGCACAAAAGAAGCATAAAAAACCGAAACAGCCCTCTTATTCAGATGCGGGGAGTCGAACCCCGGTCTTCAGCAGTACTTCATTGTACCCAACCCTAGTGGTAGCTGACGTGGCACCATACACCACATCCGAGTTATTTCCCTGCATTTGAACCTGGATGGAGATATTTCAGCATGGACGAAAAACAAAAAGGCAGCGGCCACTGCATTCGGATGCAGGGAGTCGAACCCTGTTCTGCAGCATTCAGTTGATCGAGAAATATATACTGTGAGATGACGTGCACCGCGCACCACATCCGAGTTAATAGCCTGATTTGAAGTTGGGTAAGTGGATGTTATTTCAGCGAGGACACGGGCAAATGGGGGAATGTTCGCGCTCACATTCGGATGCGGGAAGTCGAACCCCGTTCTTCAGCTATCACATTGGTTGAACACTTTACAAGAAGCCAATGTGCACCGTGCACCACATCCGAGTTAATAGCCCTGATTTGAACCTGGTTGAGTGGGAGATATTTCAGCGAGGAAACGGGCAAAAAGGGGAATGCTGCGATCGGATTCGGATGTGGGCCCGGTCTTCAGTCTGCACCGCATTCACAGAATAATATTTTATAAAGAGCTGACGTGCACCGCGCACTACATCCGGCGTATTCTGTACCATTTGGAGTTGGTTAAGTGGGAATATCTTTAGCACCAAAAAGACAAAAGGATGCAATTTGTACGGTTTGCCGAAGAGACTCGGATGAAATCACCAACTGATCTGATGTTTCTCATCGGCGAATTTAAATTTAGGTCTCATTAATTGAAGGGCCATGATATACAGACACCAAATCTCCAGTGCTTTTCAAAAGGATGGTTGTTGGTGCGAACCTCCGGAAGTTCCCATTCAACTTCGGGAAGTACCGGAGAGACGATCATGTGTCCTGGGCGCTAAACGGTGCGTCAAGGAAATGTTGCAACACGCTCGCTCACCAGTGCGAGAATGTATCTCATGTCCATTCATTCATTTTGTGAAGTTTTCTTGCAATTTATATCCTTTCTTCCGACACAAAATTTATCAACTGCAATAAAGGACGAATTAGTTGTTATTATAAGGTTTGTATCCTTAACAACCTCGAAATCAACTTCCATGAAGCAGATTCTGAAACCCTCCTCAATTTCGACACAAATAAAAATGCAGCTGTGCTACGGAACCCTGTATGTAACTCCCAATGTCTGGGATTCCTTGAAAATCATCGACTAAGCGCACATGAATAACGGGGATTGAATGGGTTTTATTAAGGGCACGCTAATGAGTGCGTCGTGACAGCAACACTTTTTACTCGGCACTTGGGACAAATCAAGGCTCCGGGAAATTCCAGAGATTGCGCCGACAACCCTTCTCTCAAAAAGCCCTGGGAGAGACCCGTATGCAGGTGTTCACGGAGTGTATATATACTGGAAAAACATTAGATCACTTCGTGATTCATCCGAGTCTCTCCGGCAAATTGCGCTACGCACCAACAACCATCCTCTTGAAAAGCACTGGAGATTTGGTGTCTGTATATCATGGCCCTTCAATTAATGAGACCTAAATTTAAATTCGCCGATGAGAAACATCAGATCATTTCGTGATTTCATCCGAGTGTCTTCGGCAAACCGTAAATTTGCCCACTTATTCGGATGCGGGGAGCCGAACCCCTCGTTTTCAGTATTACATGGTGATTGCTCAGTGCCAGTGTCAGTTGTAGCTGATGTGCACCCTGCACCACACCCGAGTTACTTGCCTTCATTTAAACCAACGAACATGAGAGTCGAGAGCAAGCCGGGCCGGTAGTATTTGCACATGTTTCGGCCCTCTTGTGAGGTCGTGGCGTCCACAGAGTAGGAGGTACCGTGGTCGGTTGTTTTGACTTAGAAATTTTTCGCGAAAGTGGAAAATCGAAGTCTTTCGATGAGAATTCTGAAGAGGCAGTTTTCTGGGGAATTCATTCGCCAGAGCACTCTATTAGTTTTCATGAGAATCCCTCCAATACTGAGAAAATGAAACCCACCCGAGATGACCGTTCCGCATCGGGGCTGCCCGACATATTTCGGGTCGCACCATTCAGTGATCTGTCACATGGCATGATGGCCCAAACGCGTTCCAACCCTTTTGCCAAAATACTTTCGTTTCTTCACTTTTAGTAAAAAGGATCACTTGGGAAATCTTGCAGAACGATTTAGAACATGACTGTCGCTTCAAAAATCTGATTCAAAGGGTTTGAATTCTCATTTTTGCGAAAAATTTCCAACCGACCACGGCAATTTCCGGTCATACTAGGATAAGTATCAGGATAATATATTACTCTACCGGTTGCTCCAGCCGCTTCGCCGACAGCTTCGGTCGTGCCTCAATTAGGCAGAGACGTGCTTAGCAATAGTAAACAAACTCCAGCGTTGGCGTCTGCTGCTGGGTTCGAGCCTAGGAGCTGATCAACCAGTTGAGGATGATGATGATGATGATGATGATGATGATGATGGTGATGATGGTGATTTCTTTTTTTTCTTTCTTTTTTTGGAGCGTTTGGAGTATAGAATCTCGGCATCCCAAGGTCATCTGCTTGTGTTACTGGATGTTAACCAGTGTTGCCGGGAAGTTTGTCCAGGAGGAAATGCCGTTACGCACTTTTGTTTCAACCAGTGTAGGGCTTCGGCCTGAAAATTATCTCATACCTGTCTTGACATTGACGGGTCGCATACTCACTAAAACCCCCTCTGAATTTATCCAGTCATCTGGCAGTGAATCCTCATCCATTACCCGTACAGACGGCTGAAAGCCGGAAGTCAGTGATCTACCTGACCGGTGGTTCCCGCTGAAAAAAAGCCTGGTTGCCAGAGGTTCATCAGCATCCAGAGCGGTCTATGATGCCGGAGTGTCTTCCGATAGGTCAGTCGGAGTTGAAAATTGTTGATGGCCTGCTCGGAACCACAAGTCGTCTTGGCGTGTAGTAGGCTGTGGTAGGCCGCTCCAAGTATTCAATATTAGTTGTCTCTTCGGCGCAAGCGGGTCAAATTTAATCTTATTGATGATTTCAATTAAGTTACGGTACATGATCTAATACGATTAAGACAGCAGATCGGTTTGGGATAAGGGGATAGCGGGGGAGGGGGAGTACGATAATTTTTTAAGAGGGAGAGATCGAGAGGTGGAAGTAGAGACGTAAGTGGAAAATATAGGCTGGGGGGAACGAATGCAAGGTGGTAAGGTTCATGGGTGGGTTGGGGGGGAGAAACATGTAAGAGGTATGTAGTGAGAGACCGTGTGCAGGAATAAAATCGGAGAAGAGGATATAGAATATGAAGAAGTCATATGAGAGAGATTATAAGTAGGTAAAGTATAGTATGAACCTAAGCTATTGACGGAGGAAGGAAAAGGAGAGAGGAGGGGCTCACAAGTCCGCGAAGCGGCCCGTGGCCTCTATGAACTTCGCCAACGACTTCAGGAGGGTGTCGTTGAGCAGGGTCGGGAGATGGAGGGAGCCGAAGAAGGATCCCGCCGCCATTGACGCGCGGAATAACGGGGGGCGGAAGCGATCCCAGGCCGGGAATGCGAAGAGGTAATGAGCGCGGGTCTCAAAGGGGGCACCGCAGGCGTTGCACGCATCGGAGGCAATAAAGCCAGATCGGACGCGGGTGGCGTTAAGGAAGGAAAAGTCAGTGCGGAGTTGCTAGACAGTGGAAATGGCGTGGCGCGATATAGCCGAGGAAGAACAGAGGGGAGACAGGACGAGGCGCGGGGGGAGGCGGTCGACAGCGCGGAGTGCTCTGCCCACCTTCAATGCCGACCAGAGCCGTTCCCAGTCCTCCAGGATCTGGAGGTGGGTGGGCCGAGGCCCGACGCACGGTAGTGAGGGAGACGAATGGGAGGGTTTGGGTCCAGAGCCGAGGCGTCCTAGCCAAGTCCAGGTGCGGATCATACAAGCGCGCGTTAAACTGTAACTGACTTCACACGCAGATAATATCTACCATTCTCATCGTGTTCCGAGCTGCCCAGGGTAAGAGCTGGACAATCTCACACAAGAACGGATGACACAGCCCTCGCGGCCTCAATCTATCGTCCAATTTGTTTCACCCCGCGACAGCCCTGTACCGTCACAGCGGTCCAGTACAACGGTTACAGGACATGTGGACAAGATGCCCGAGAATTCGAGAAGGATGCGGGGAGTGGGCCTAGTTGCTCCGTTGGTGTTTGAAATGAGAACTGTCATGGGTTTCGTGTGTACTGTATGGGCAATATACTGTCCAATAATTACGTGCATTTTACTAGTCTCTCAGTAGACAGACCAAGGGGGCACCGGCATTCAAACCGGCTACCAAAGCCCGATTGGTGAGCTCGGCTGCAGGGTCGGGGGAAAAAAAATGAGATCCAACTTTTTGGCCCACGATTGACGGTGCAGTGATTTCAGAGCTGTTTCTTATTTCTCCAACCCAGGAAAGGTGTTGATAGATGTTAGAATCTGCTACATAGTTGACCTTTTGCCTCGGCAATTACCGCATCAGTTGATCATCGACCTCATCAGGCAGGACTTTCCCACGTTCGACGCGAACAGTGGTCATCATTCGTTGAAAAAAAAGAAGCAGAAATGTTTAACAGTGCCTGCTATGTTCTCATTACATAAGAGTCGGCGTGGCAGGATTACGTAGACCAATCCACTGTGCTGATAAGTGGATGTACCACTTATTTAGTCTCTCAGAGAACAGACACTTTAGTGGATCTAACTCGTACCTCGTTCACTAAAACAGACTACTACTTATTAGCTTTTGTGCTTTTCTGTGTTCACTCCATCCTTCGCGCAAGCATGCTGCGCCACAGAAGAACACCCGACCATTGCAAGTTCCTGAAGCAATTCAACGTCAAGGCCATCGAAGTCCTACGAGAAGGAAATGGCGGTGTACCATCACATTTCTTCCACGGCCCGCTGCAGCGCAGACGAAGCACCGCTGAGGTCGAGATTGTTGAAAGGGAGTGGGCAGCCCGGCACGTGTGACGTGCATCTCCTCCTCCGCATCCACATCCTCAAAGTTCCCACCTACGCAGCTCCGACAGATCCCCAAAGCTGCGAGAGACCAATTTAGTGCGCGTCCAATTGTACTGGTTGTTCGTCCAGCCACCGAACATGCACGTCTTCCCCGTGGTGCCGTCAAAGGCGAGTTGCGCCTGGCATTGATATGTCGGGAAACTAATGGTGGGAAGGTTCGATTCGGTTTTGCGTCCGAACGCGTTTGAACCCAAACAATTTGGGGCACCTCGGGGAGTCTAAATCTCTTCCAAAATAATACCTACTGATATTTTTCGGCATTTTTATGGTCCTATGGAATGTTTGGGATGCAATTGTCAGTGTGTGTATGCCCTCCGATCATTGAACGCGCTCACAACGCGCTCACAAACTTTGCATGACAGATCACTTCACCTACCCAAACACACCGGGCCTGCTTCGAATTTTGTTCAGGGCAA